CGATTTTAACATTTACCGTTCAGATATGCACGCTTCTCCTTCAGCACTACAACAAAGCAGATTAATTTAGCCTCTCTGATTGCTGTTTATTTTTAGTTAGGACTTGTTTTGTGCTGACAAACCACTTTAAAGTTACAGTCGTCGTTCCGCCCCCCCAACTCTTCCCTCCACTTGGCAGTCACAACTGTGCCCTGGGCTAGGCGCTGACATCCGCACCCGCACGTCTCACTGCTCCTAATGAAGGAGAGATCCTGCAGCAGCCCACCCCTCTGTCCCGCGCGCCCCCATCGCCAGGCATTAATGGGAAGAAGAGGGGAGAAGAAAGGGAGGGGTAAAAAAGGGCAGGGATGAAGAGGGAAAGTGCTGCCCGGCGGCCGCCTCACCTGATGTAGTCGTTTCTGCAGAGGATCATGCCGCTCTTGGTGTAGCAGGAGGTGCCGATGTCCCCCAGCTGGGCCTGGCAGCAGGAGCACTTGAGGCAGCGGCTGTGCCAGTAGCTGTCCATGGCGTAGAGCAGGAAGCGGTCGGCGATCTTCCCCCCGCAGCCGGCGCACCTCTTCCACGAGAGGGAGCCCGCCGTCACTGGGGGCGGCTGCGAGCTGCCGCCGGGGTTCACCATGGCCTGCGGAGAGACGCGGGCGGGTCAGGGCCTGGGGTGCGCGGAGCGGACCCGCAACCAGCGGGGAGCGGCGGGCGCAGGGGGCAGAGCCCCCCCGCTCCGGGCTGATGCAGCTGCGGCACAAGTCGGGAACAGCCCCGGCGTTTGTTTTGCTTATGGGAAACACGGCGTGCGAAGAGTGAAAAAGGGAGTTGTGAAACTGGTTTTTCAGTCTAAGAGAGACGCGGCAGGCCCCAGGCAGCAACGAGGGGCTCGGGACCCGCCGGCCTCCCCGCGGCGTGCTGGGGACGTGGGGGGTCGTTCCGTTTGGGTTTATTCTGGAGACATAAAAGCACGCCGAGAAAACACTCCAGACTGAGGGCACTGGCCGAATAATGGATCATTGAACTTCAGGACGCCTGTTAACTTCCTATGCAAACATACTCTACTTCTGTCTCGCTAATCTGCCCTCGATCAGCAGTTTAAATGCTAAGGCTTTGTTACTCCCCCCCCCCCCCCCCAAATATATAAATAAAAAAAAAGGGGGGGGAGGAGGGAAAAGCTGCCTGGCCGCGGGAGAGCGGCAGAACCGGAGCGCTCCGCTGGAGCCACCCCAGCCGCCCAAACTGTGACCAGGGGCGTTTTTCACTTTCTGATGAACGCTCCATACGAGCAGGACAACCCGGAGATAATATGGGAATCAATTCATAAAGCTTACTCTAAACCGATTAATTTGTTGCCTTCAGTCCAGAGCCCAATAAACTCCCGGTGTTCCTCCAGTCACTCATGCTATAAAAAGATCAAGTTATTTACTGCCAATTAAGCAGCGTGTTTTGTCTTTGTCCTCTGTAAGCTGTACGTGGTCATGCCGAGGCATCTGGCTCTCTGCTAAGGACCTTCAGAGCGATACCTCCAGAGCAGCGAGCAGGAACTTTTCCTGCCACCGGCCCAACTCGGCGACAGGAGGAGGAGAAGCTGGGGCCGCTTTCAAACACACATTTCCTCAGAAAGAGTACCTGGAGGTATGTCCAGTGACCGCACAATAAACCAGAAGAACTGCACCAATTAAGCTGTAACAAAAACCCCGAGACTTTGGAAAGAAAACCACTCTAAAAGCCATTAGCATTGCATTTATCCGAACGCATCATATACCTTTATGTAAATTGATTTCTGATGCATTTGTTCAAGGAATTGCCTTTTGTTAGTTTCCAGCTACCGCCTAAATGAATCTGCATTTCCTGCTCCGAGTCTTTAAACCGTTTCCCTACGTTTTAAATCACTTCGGATTTCTTAAAAGAAAGGCTCCGTGCCACCACCTTAACCCGTCTTTGTCGAAGGCAAACGTATATAAATATAAAATGGGAACCGTTACACTGAGAAAACCGTCCAGTAACCCCATTAAGCTAAAGCTCTTAAGGACAAGCAATACCTTAATGCTGATTAAATCTAAAAAGATGAATCAAGAGGACTGACCAGAAAGTGACTCCCTTGATAACTAAGGACGGGCCCTCATCAAGTTTCATTTAGAGTTGGGGGGAAAAAGCTTTTAACTTAAATAGGCTTACTCTGGTAATTACACAGCCAAGCAATTTAGGTCCTGGGATAGGAGTCAGTGAAATAGAAAGCAGAGCTGGAAGCTAGAGGCAAAATAACCCCCCCTTTTAACAGCGTCTCTGGCGTTTTTTTTAATGGAGACCAAGGGAGGGACAAGCAGAGAGCTGGCAATTTGTAGTACAAAAATGGATGCTTAATTCATGTCTTGGTTTTAATTAGGTGATTCACCGGATTTCTCTTGGATTGAAACAAAAGACCGTGTGGGGGCAGGAAGGGAATTTGAGAGGAGAGAAACAGAGAGCTCACTTTGATCTTTTCTGCCACTGTTTCGGCAGTGTTTACTACGGGGGTAGCGGGTGCCCCAACCTGCCCCCTCCCCGTCCCTTCCATTCACGTCCGCGGCAGCACAGCCCTTCCAGGCGGCGGCTCGAACCGGGGTGGAAGGAAAAGCCTTTCCGAGCGGCTGCCGCCGCCAGGCTTTGTACGCGGGGACCGCGACAATGCCCGTGGCCCGCGGCTCCCCCCGCTCCGCGCCCCTCCGCGGCTGCGGGCAGCGCGGGACGGCGGCGGGCAGCGCGGGCATGCGACCGCGCTCACGTACGCTGGAAAACAAGGGGTAACGACCGACGCTTCTTACCTGCTTCCCCTCTATATTGCAAAAGGCCGGGGAGCAACGCCGCTCGGGGTGCCTGAGAAGGTCTCCTTGCAAAGAAACAAACACAGCGCTCGGCCTCCCTCTGGCTCGCGGGAGCTCTGGACGCAGCCCCCCCGCCCGGTAAAGGGCAGCCCGGGCTACAAAAATACAGCTGTTTCTGTGAGAGGCGTCCGCCCGGGTCCGTTCTGCAGCTCGCGGTGCCCGCGAGGGGAGCCGCAGCGCTCAGCCGCCCAGCCGCACACGCAGGGCGCCGCCGCCGCCGCTCGCTGCTGCAATCGCCGGGCAAGTTTGGCAATGTGGCTTCACTTTGTAGCGCTCCCCCCTCAACCTCCGCCCCCTTCGCCGGGCTGTGGCGGCTCCCGGGCCCGCCGCCGCGCCTGAGGAGAGGGCGAAAGCCGGCGGGGCCGGGCGCGCAGCCGGGGCCGGGCGGGGATCCTGCGGCGACGGCACTGGCGGGACACGGGAGGAGGGCCCTGTGCGAGCGCGGGTGTGTGTGTGCGCGCCGCGAGGTGCGCTCCCCGCCGCCTCACACATGTGTTACTGACAGAGCCGAACCCCAACTACACCCCAGCACGGCCCCGCCGTCAGCCCGCCGCAGCCAATCCGCCCGCGGCTTGTTCAGGCGGAATAATAAAACCTGCCAATCCCCGGGAACACAAAGGAATGAGCGAAAGGGGAGGGAAAACCGAGCCGAGCACGGGAGGGAGCAAGGAGGAGGGCAATGGAGGGGAGGCGGAGCCAGGTGGGCAGCGGTGCCCGCTCGGGTGCGGAGGGGCGCCCCCTGCTCCGCTCTCGGCCACCAGTTGAGGAACTTGGCGGAGAGGGGCTGCCCCTGGCCCGACCGGACGCGGCCGCCGCTGCCCGTCAAAGCGCCTCCTGGGCACTGCCCGCTTCCCGCTGGGCGCTGAGAGGAGGTGCGGCCGACTCCTCGACACCGTCCTGCCTTCCCCTCGGGGCCTGCGGCCTCGTCCTGCCCCGGAGCCCGCACCGCCGCCCTCAGGGCGGGCTGCGCACCCGCGGTCGGCGCTTGCCGGGAGGAGGAGGCCGCCGCCGCCGCCGCCGCCCCCCCCCTCCGCTGGAGGCGAAAAGCGCAGGGAAGCGGTGCCCAGGCATGCCTGTCCGGGCACGGCCTGCTGTCCGCAGCCCCTGCACCGGTTTAAAAGGGTTAAACGGCCGCAGTTGGCCGGCAGTTAGCTGCACGGCGTCTTGTTTGAGGAAACAACTGCATTTCTGAGGAAGAAGCCCAGGGATGACAGCAAACCAAAAGTCACATCCAGTAGGAGCACTTAAATTTTGGAAAAAGCAACCCCACGTATTAACTGCACTTGTTTGAGGCAAAAGTACAGTACCAAAGAGTTAAAAAAGACCCTTGAAACAACGCAAGTGTTTCCAAATGTGCCACAATTAGTGGCTGTTATCCCCTAAGCAGTTGCACCTGCCAGCATGGGGCCCTGCCCAGCTGCTGCGATGGGTTCCTGCCTGGTGCTGTCTGATGTGGGGCAGCTGTGCTTCACCGTGCAGACCACTGCTAGGACATCTGATCCATTCCACACCTTCAGGATCTGTGAAAGAACAGAAAAACTCCATGATACAGGTTTCCCGATTGCAGGCTGCTGTCGTAGGGCACAGCCAGTGCAGCGAGAACGGTGGGAGAGGCCAGGCCAGGCCCTGGGGTGTGGGCTGGGGGTATGGTTAATTGCTGTGGTCAATGTGATGGCAGTGGGACTGAATAACGAGTTTGCGTGTGTCCGTCTCTCTGCTGTTAAAGTGTTCTAAAGCCGTTCCTGCGGGTCGCTAACGCAGTAGCGATGTACCCCCAGAGGGTACGGAACTGCAGCCGGCTGTCCGGGTGCACAGCTGCGTGCGCCGGCACAAAAGTGCAGTGAATGCTCCAGTGCCAGGCCGAGTGGTAAGTCCCCCTGGGGATGCACAGCCCAGGTGTATCTGAGCCACATCGCCACCTGTGGGCCTCCTCCATGGCTGCATCCCTGCCTTGGCTGGATCCACGGCGTGCCCAGGAAGCACTTAAAACTTAGGGAAAACATGCCTAGCTAGGAAAAACGTACCTGAGAAGACACGGGATAGCGCAGGCAGGTTTTGTTTCTAATGATATAGCAAATAAAATGCTGAAATCCGAATATCACCACAGGTGATAGTGAATGCAGGGGGGAAAATAGTCTATTTCTCTCTTTCTGGGATATGTTCGGAGTCTGTGCATAAAGCTCATGGAAGGCTTCCGCCAGGAAAGGGGGGAGAGGACTGGTGTTGTGGTTAAAAAGAATGATTTTTTTTAACATAGGGTCTATGAAATATATCATCTGGATGTAATCTCCGTGTACATATTACATTTAAACATGCTCAGCAGTTTTAGATTTGTTATTTAGGATCTGGTACAATTTAAAACATATCAAGTAACAAGGCATGCTACAGATAATCAGCAGTCACTGTTATTCTAGCTCTCTGACAGCTAAGAGCACAAGAATAGAGCAAATGCCAAGCTAAAATAAAATCTAAGTTGTCTAATTATCTAAGCCTGTAATGGCTGGAATGTACCAAATTCAGTCTCTGGAAGAGCCATCAGGACCTCTCCTCATTGGAAAAGATATTCTACCAAGAAACTCTGCCATAGGCACTAAAATGTTTACTAGTCTTAAAACTGATAGTGATACAAAAAATGGGAACTACCTTCTCAGGAAGCAGAGTTTTAAATAGCTTAATGACATCTTCGAAATACGATTATGATTTTTCTGAAATCACTAATCACTAATTTTTGTGATTAATTTTAACAGAGGAAACTGTAACTGAGAGCATTTTGCAGAGCAATATTTTTCTGATTTTTCTTTTGTGCAGCATCTGCTGTTGCTGTGCTGTCATCTTCGTTATGTTTTTCATTGTCTATGTGCCATAATGTAATTAGTTAGTTCAACATCATCTGTGCTATTAGATGAGATGTTTCTATGGTAAGTTAACATAGTTCTGTGTAATTGGTAGATTTCAGCAGTAGGCATGAATGTATCCATCAACTTTAGGTCGATTTGAGTCCGCAAGATTTAAGTTCACTTGGCATATGTTATCCTCGAAGACTGTTAATTTTGGCTGAATGGATAAAAAACACAATGCAGAAGAAAATCTGGCTGCTTATATCGTGGTACTGTTGGAGTCAGGGAAAGGAAAGCATAAAATTGCTGGCTTAGTAGTTGCAATCTGAATGCCTGGAAAATGTTACAGCCTGTGAGCCAAATCACTCTTAAAACTAGACGTGCCCCTGAGATAGCAGGTAGTCCAGAAGTCATCAGTCTCTCCACTCATGAAAGGAGTCGTGGTTCTCTCCCTAAATACTGCATGCCTATGGGACTGTCTTTTCCTTTTCTCATTAGAGAGAAATGTTGGGGCTGCTGATTTGTCTTGAGATCTTCCATGCTGCACTTTGTTAGTCCTCATGTCTTGCAGGCTGCACCTTTTGAACAAACAATTAGACTCTTAAAACTAACCCTCTGACCCCAGTCTCTTCGGAAACAGTGACAAAATATCAACAGCCATTTGCTACTTTCAAGTAACACTTCCTTTTATTTGCATAGGAGTTTCTGGTTTAGGGCCTCACACAATTTAAAAACCCAACTGGATTAAGTATTTAAATCAGATATCCAGTGATATGGGAGAGTACGCATCCTGGCAGACGCAGGGAAGAACCCTGGATGGCTTTACTCGCAAGTGTACTTTCCAAGCAGTAGACTGTATTGGTTGCCCCAAAGAGCAAGATAATTCACTTTTAGAAATATGCGTATAGATTTTGACTTTGCTTATAAATACATGAGTAACTTTATTTACAGGAACCCAGAACCGTGGAAAGTAATTAGTAAGCATGGTTCGCTTAGGTAAGGGCTTGCAAGGCCCTTTTATCATCGCTGTATCCATAACTTAGGACAGGAGCCAAATAATATAAATGTCAGTAATTATAGATATATATTTATATTAACAATGAAGTCCACTTTAGGAAGAGCTAAGGCTATATTTGTAATGACTTCATATGGCTAAAATTACGTGCACTAATTTGTCCTGTGCACATTCCTGTTGGGAGAACTGATGTATTACCACAAGCCATCAGTAGCAGAAAGTCCTGGGTGTGAGTTTTGTGACTGAAGTCAAAGACATCAGAGTTGGAAATGACATGTAATTTATGCTTTAAATTAAAAGTCTCTAGAGGCCACTAGAATATGCATATATAATAAGTTCACTACATAAAAATTCTTCCAATTGGAAATGCTGAATGAATTTTGAAAGAGGGCTTTACACTCCACAGTCTAATAAACCACGGCACTTTTCAGTTAAGATGATTTTGACATTCTTAAATATATACTGACAATTGATTTTTGTGATGACATATCTGTAGAGTGATCTTTTGTCACAAATATCAACATGTAGTATTATGATTCAGATGTCACCATCTCTAACAAGGAAAAAAAAACCCTTTGACAAATACTTAAAATTATAAACTCATGTAGAACTTACCCTTTAAAGTAAAAAATGTTCTCTTTACAGATACTTTCATAGAAGCTGCATTAATGTGTTGCTTCTGTTCACTAGTCACTATAATAAAACAGTCAGATTAGAGCATAATTTGGTGCTGTTTTAAGGCCCATATTATAGCTATAAGGTAGCCACTGAGGTACTTTAAATTTACAGAACAAAAAAGATCAGCTGGATCTAATATCCTACTAATTCAACTGACCAAAGTGCTCTTACCTAATGCAGAGGTACACGTTTATAACACCATCATTTATGTTTCTGAATGTTATAGCACCGCCACTTCTTTTCAGTCAGAATTCACTTCAGAGAATTTCAGCAGAGAAAGTAAACGTGTCTTCTCTTCCCTCTGGGAAAAGAAATCATGGAAACATTAAATGTTTTCTACTCAGAGCTGGCTCTTTATTTCTTGTAGCCATTTTTTAAATATTTCCTTTGTCAAAGGAAGGCTTGCGCTTGGGTATGATTTTTGCAAACAGACCTGTGCAGAATTTAGGAAAAACAATGTGCTGGAATCATGTATCACGATAAAAAATGAGACCTTAATTCTAACCTGTATTATTTAATTAATTAGCAGAGTAAATTTAAATATGCAGAAGAAATGAGTATTATGCCTGAGTGAATAAACACCATATTTAACATTTTTGATGGTGTTGTCCATACATAAGACCCTTAAAATTGCATTGAAATTATTTTGAAAGATGTTTGTCCAGTAGCAAATCTTATGTCATTAGAGTATCTGCCTGCTATGAGTGTATCCAGGAAATGAGTTATTTACTGTAACTCACTGCCATGGAGGAATACATCTGATATCACTGTGAAGTTCCCATAAATTTTGAACGATGCTGTAACTTACAGAAAGGTCCGTGACTGATCTTTTCCACTTATTTTGCACCTCTCCACAGAGAAGACCCTTGTGATCTCTGACTTGGGCTATAGTAAACCAATAGAGGAACATTCGCTCAAGCCATTTTCTCTGTAGGTCTTTCAGGAGAAGTCCACAGCCTAGAGTTTCAGAGGATTTTGTTGTGTGATGCATCACAGAATTATAGAGTCATAGAATGGTTTGGGTTGGAAAGGACCTTAAGTTCATGTAGTTCCAACCCCCCTGCCACAGGCAGAGACAATCAATGGGAAGGCATAGATTTGGCTAATACAGCTAGATGTTTGTGGTGACTGTTTCTAATGGTGATTTGACATTAGGCATTGTTTCAAAGAGGTGAGAGAAAGCAAGGTATGGGCTGAGGACTGAAATACACACATCAGGGATCTCCTGCTGAAGTCATCTTTTACATTTAAGGGCTACCAGCACATACGGGAAAATGGAGAGTTACAAAACTAAAGAGGAAGAGCAGGCTGGTGACTTGTGTCTGGCAGAAATGCCTCAATACTATTTGATTTGAAATTTACATAGATGCCAGCAGTTATGACACAACTGTCACTCTAAGTTCACTTAACTGGACATGAAACAATAATGACAAACAATCAGAGTGACAGTTCTCCTATTCTGCAGTGAGGTTCTTCTGTCTCAGTTCTACAACATTCCTTCTGTTCCCCCTGCCAGACAAATGTGCTTCTGTTATTATGATTTCTCTGTTTGACTCGGTGCAGCCTCGCTTTCAGGAAGAGTTTCTAAGCTTTGTATTCAGTTTTTTAGTCATACTATTTATCAAAGCAAGAGTTTCTTAGTAACAGTTTTTAACTCTTTAATAGTTACTTTGCTGATGTAATCCATTATTTAAAAATATTTTCTTGGGTAAGAATATTACATTATTTTTCATATAAAAATATAGCCCTTTATTTTTCTTAAGGTGTTTTTCAGAACTGGAGCAACTCCTATACTCCATGACCATAACTCTTTTTATCATTCTACTATGATTCAGTAGCTTTTGCTGTCTTATAAACAATCTTACAATTAAGAGCTAATGTTAATGGAATAGATTGTTGTCATAGGATAATGGTTTCCTGCTGCTAGATAAATGCTGTGGCAATGCTAGGACATTTATTGAAAGTAATAGTGAAGACAAAGCTAAGAGATTTATTTTTAAAGCAGGTGCCACAGATCCAGTGACACCATTCTGTTACAATTGCTTTATTTCTATTTCACTAAAAGACTGATGAAGATGGAAGCATTTTGCCTGATGTATGCAAGTGCAGCAAAGTGACAGTGGCTCATTTCACTGTAACTGAATAAGCTGCATTGCACTTGGCTCAGGAAGAGATTTATTGTGGAGCTCATCCAATCAGAAAACAGTTTATCCATTAAGTACAGCTTTAAAATATGTTGTATTTTTATGAACAAGATGGGGCTTGATGCTTTCTTTCACAGAAGCAGTTAGGCACAGTTCACAGAAGAGGAGGAAAGCGAGGCCCTACCGTGCTCGTTCTGCCAGTCCATCCAGAAGCCCCCCTTTCCTCTGTGCCACAGGGACGGCACGCTGGGGAGGGTGAGCCAGTCCGTAGCATGTTCCCCTCCTCCTGAATCAATGGTTCCTTGTCTTCCTTCTTCTGCGTTGAGGGTGTTGCCTCAGTGTTACCAGCACAGAAATGGCAGCGTTGTTCTTACCAGCACTGCTGTGCAGGGGGGAGAGAGGAAAAATTTTTGCTAGCTTAGTGTTTCCTTGGAGTTCACAGGATCCTGAAGTTTTGGAAAATATGCCTTCTTCCTTTTACATGACTTTGAAACTTGCTCAGCCCTGAACCCTCCAACAGAGGACTGTGAAAAGCAGAGCTCATAAAGCTTCCCAGGCCCTCTCTCTGCTTTTGTGAAATTGCAGTAAAACATCTTGGATACCCCAAGTATGCAGCTCCTACAATACTGGAGCCAATTGTCAGGAAGCACATGGGATCCATTCACTTCAACAAGCTTTCTCTGGACAGGTATGTCCCAGTTGCTTGACTTAGGCTGCAGTAGAGGTCTTTTCTTTTGAACTATGGAGCACCTATTCCAAGTCGTGGTGGTGTAGCTATGACAGCTTAAGGACATCCCAGAAATAATAAAAAATAGGATCCCTCTCCATAAACCCTCATCATTCCAAAGCATCTTTAAAGTTATGTTGTAAACCAGCATAATAACTTTATATGACCATAAAGTCTCTGCTAGGATTTCCTTTAGAAACTAATTTTATTACTAAGGCCCAAGGACCTTGACATCAAACCAGCAATTCATTGTTCCAAGGACTTAGTCTTGTAGCTGCTCACAACACAGCCCTGAATTAACTTCTAAGACCAGAGCTTGAAGGCAGTAAACAACTTTAACCTTTTCTCAGCCCCAGACACATCTCACAAACAGGAGTTCAGTAAATGCATAAAGTTCACTTTAACCCATGTGCAGACATTCTAAGATCTAATTCATTCTTCACTTTCTGAATTTTAAGAAATTTTTTATAGTAAGAAATGGGCAAGTATTACAGCACTTGTGCCAAAGAGCTGTCAGATAAGGCTGGTCCTCTGCTGAACCTTGCTCTTTATGAAAGACAAGCACCAGAGAGAACATCATAGGGAAAAGCAGAAAACTGGAGTCATTTACCTAAGTACCTGCAAGGACGTGACTGTAAGTACTGTAAAGTCCTATGATTTTATCAAAATATTTGAAGCATCTATTTAAAGTTCTAACTAGGGAATCACAGTTTCATGCTAATCTGTTTCACCTTTTTCTTATAGGAACTTTGAGTCTTCCTGGTGAGGTAAAAACATTAATACTTGAAGATCAACCAGAAAAAAATAAAACTAATTTCTTCACATTCAGCATTTTATTTTTAAAAAATAATTCTTCATTTGATCTAATAAAGAGTGAGGACTCACAACTTTGGAATTTTTGGGACTACCATTATGGAAAGCAGTTGTTCTGTCAGCACATACTGGATCTGCTCAAGGAATCCTCCTGGATTCAAGGAATTATGAAACCTATTTTGTCAATAGGCTTCTCCATATCACACAAGACCTCATACAATCAATCAATACTTAACTTTCATACTCATACTGCTCCCAGAGAGGGACAGAATTCCCCATGTCAGTTATCCTATCTCAAAGCGAATCTGCAGCCTCTTGCACCTCTTTTGACTAAGGCAGCTATGTATATGCCGCCTGGATCCAGCCCAGATGCTTTATTTCTATTGCATGAGATGATTAATTATGTGGTTTCTTTCTGTTTGTCTGATAGAGGCTGAGGTAAGGGAGTGATGGTTGCTTAGTGCACTATTATTAAAAAGCTCCTTTTGATAGCCCTGAACAGGCTTGAGTTGAGTGCCGCAACTAATCATAGAGCTGCTTACTTGGAAATGTAATGCTTGTTAATACTATACTGTACTTTTAGAAGTAAACTCATTTTTGATTGGCTAGAGTTTAACTATAATCAGTAATTAAGGGTCAGCCATCCAGTAAACTCATTAGTTTACACCAATTACATTTGGTATAGTAACTAATGATTTCAAGGATCAAGCCATTTATTTCTAAGCTTTCAAAGTATAATTATTGTGTAAATCAGATAGAGTGTAAATCTTTTCCATACGTTTTGGTTGGTAATTGAGAAATAAAATGGTTTCCAAATGTATTCTCTGTCCAGTTTTTGTTCTACAGTAGATCTCTCTGGGGACTCTTTAAAGTATATGGAAAAGGTGATGTCAACAGAAGTGTACGCTGGGCAAACTGAGACAGCATTAATTAATAGAGATGAAAGAGAAAAGCCAGTCCCTTGCAAATCATGGTCAAGGCCTGAACGTGGACATCACACCTTAAATGACAGTTTACAATCCTAAGCATGAGTCACGCAGATTGACAAGTATTCAAAATACAAGAGAATAAAAAATCTTGTATGTTTAATATATTACCTTCCCAATATGCAATCTTTAAGATGGTGTAATCTCTGGAGCATTTTGCTTTGAAGTGTAATATATAGTTCCTCACGTCCATATAACATTTTCAACACGTTAAACAAATTAGTCTCTGGTTACAGAAGTTTTTAGACATTTATAAGTTGCTGTTCAAGTAAATTTAATATGTGCCAGCGAAGTTGCTCATGCACTTGTTCAGTTAGAAAAATGCACATTTGGAATGATTAATAAATAAACCAGCCTTTCCTATCCCTTCAACTTCGGTGTTTATTTGAAAGCAATCTACTTTAAAAAGACATTAATATCCCTAGAATTATTATTAGAATAATTGCTTTTACTCTTCTTGGAACAAACATTTTTTCTTATTTCCCTTCAGCACAGACAGCTTTCGACTCAGATATAAACTTCCTATTATTATTCCCCACTCCCCACCCCAAAAATGAAGAATAGGAATTATACACTTTTCACTAAGGAATAATTAATTTGTCTCAAGTATTAGAACAGAGAACTGTAGAATGACTTTGAATGGTAGTCTCTAAGGAGTAGCATTGTTTGTTCTCTTCAGTCTTTAATGAGCTTTAGTAAATGGCCAGGAAAAATTACCTTCCTTCTGTAATATGAGAGAAGCGAAGAATGAAGGAAGCTATAGAATCCCTACGAGAAAAGGGAGCAGCCACACACACACACACACACACACACACAGAGCTCCCTGTACCACATCGTTTCCAATGGTTAGTGTTCTCCTTTGGAAAGGAGCACTAGAGCTCTATTTTTTCCATTACAGTAAAAACATATAATGTCCCTAATATTTTTGTAGGAGAGAAAAAATTCCTGGATGTCTCCCACATACTGACGGTGTCTGGCTTGTGTTGGGGGACAACTGCCTATAGCTGAGCTCTGGAAGTCATTCTGGCTTTCCCTGCTTTGGCATTGATTTTGTCTTTTAAGATTCCTTAGGCTATTTTTGCCATATTTCCACCTTTAAAAGCAATTTCCCTTATAGTGGCCCAGCCTGCTGCCCTGTCTTTTAACAGACTTCTTTTCTCTCCACCGTGTATTCATTGTCACTCCTATCCAGAATGGTAACTGAGGCAGCAGTTGCAGGTGCTTGTTTCAGTAACGGATACAGATCTGTCACCATGGATAACTGAGCATGTTCAGGAATATCGTTTCCTTCCATTACCTCCAGCCGCCATATACATCCTCACTACCTAGTCCTATAATGTGTCAGTGGTGCTGAGGCCATTGCCGCTTTGTGGCATGGGGGAAGCTCACCCTCAGCAGTGAAGTCCAAACAACACAGTCTAAAAGGCTCTTGTGGAAAAGGGGCTCTCAGCAATCCATCTGATTGGAGTTGTTCCAGTTTGTATGGAATAATTAAATATTAAATGGTTTGCCATGTGTGCTTGCTCTCAAAGCATTACTGAGAGCAAGAAACCTGGGTTCTGTTACCTCTTCCAGGGAATACTTTGTGTTAAGTATTTACTGGGACAAGCCCTGGCAGACATGGTTTCCCCACCCAGGTGAGCGTCCCCATTACAAGGTTGACAAGCCAAGCCCAAGCTTTCCCACTTCAAGAGAGGACTGGGTTCACAGTCCTCACAGAACAGCTGATAATCTTCTGGGTAGAGTGCTAATTCAGGGGGCAAGAGATTCAAGTTCCATCTGCCTCAGGCAGAGGCTGAATACAAGCCTCTCCTATCCTGGCTAAACTGCACCAGCCAGGAGGCTGAACCACAAAGGCTTGGGAGAGGCAGAAGGGCACGGGAGCAAGGAGAGACGTGCAGAAGGCAGCAGCACTATCAGTCACTATTGTGTGAGAAAAACCTGGCATGGGTGTCCAGTTCCTAGAGAGCAAGCGAGGTAAGTAGGTAAAGTAACTCACGGTGTTACAACACCTCAGTCTGATCATGGCCCTGGATCATGGGAGGTGCTCTCATGGCAGATCTCTGGTTGCTGACTAGAGTTCAGGGTCATGAGGGATGTGAAGGGAGATGATGAAAGTGGGGAGAGCTGCCTGGACCCATCCGAGACATTTAAGGAAAAGATAAAGTAAAAAGCTGCTGCCAACGTAAAAATCATTTCTCTCTGTCATGGGCCCTCTTCAGTGCAATTGCTAGAGAAGAATAAATGGAGAAAGATGGCTGAAAGATGGATAGGAGACAGTGAGAACAGGGCTAGTAAGTGAGGCAGAGATGGTGGAAAGAAGACAAGGAGGACAACAGGAGGACTGGACAAAGAAAAAGGAAAGACTGTGACCGAGACACTTCACCTCCCATTGCCTCAATCTTCTGGCAATAAAAGAATACTAGTGAGAGAATCACAGAGCATTTCAGTAACGTTGAAGTTCATAAACATTTAGGAGACATTTAAGGGCCCTGTTGATCAGGACTGTGTTAAAAAGCAAGCAGGAAAATTTAAGAGAATGCTCTGACAAGTCTGAAGCACTGCTATCGGGAAAGAAAAAAGGAACAGGACTTATGTGCTTGATTTCATATGTGTAACTGAGTATTAAAATTCACACCAAGTACACTTAGGCTTTTTAATCGTAGAAAAAATTGGGCCTATTTCAGAGCAGGGAGAACACATGGTTTAAGGCATGCAGCCACTCTTTCTTCAGTAACAACCTACTGTGACTCCTATAATTTATTCCTCCCAAGATTCATTTCAACATCTGCAGTATCATTATTTGAGTTTGTTATACTATTAGCTTTAAAATTTTATAAGCCATACAGTAGGATAGGTGACAAGTTGAAAAGTTAAGGAGGGTTAATTTAGAAGTTTTAAAGCAAAGCTATTTTTGAGTTATACAAGTGCAAAAAAGCATCTGAATCCAAACCTCCATGGTTACATTAAAGTAACTCAGAAACTGCTGAAAGGATTTTCTTCAAGCTTCACTCAAGACAAATCCCTCTGGGCTAAGACCAAGCATGAGAATTTAACTCAAAAGGTGATTGTTGTCTGAAGGGAGTTTTCTCTCCCCCCCTCTTCCCCTCCCCTCCTTTTGCTTTGTTTTGTTTTCAGTGTTTTATATATATATATATATAAATACATATATATATATAAAAGCCCTGAAAAATAAGAGTCTGGAGTGTAACTGTTTCATATCAATTTTATCATTCTAATAAGAAAAATGCTGTTTGTAAACTACCTTTTTATTAAAACCAGACCCCCTGCTTTGCCTTTAGCACTCAGTACCCACCTCTAGCAGGCATTTGGTAATGGTGTCACTGGGTGGCTCAACAGTAAAGTATCAAGCTGTACTCTCAGCCCCATCTGCGGCTTCTTTGCATGCCTCAGCAGCTCAGCGCAGCTATAATACTACCCTAAATGGACAACTGAGGATTCCTCTTAACAGGAAGTCTTCGGAGAGCAGAGAGTCAGCAGCTCTGCAGCACTCTTTCCTCCGCTTCCCATCCCCAGTTCATGGCAGGTGAATCACACTCTGTACCTGTAGGCTGACCCAAACTAGGTTTTGATTTCTCACTGCTCCAGGTTTTGGAAAGCAGAAAGGTAGCTGGTGGTCATGCTTTTCTCAGCTCACTATTAACTCAGCGTGTCTGGCAACCTCATTCTTTCTTCCCCTTTACAGTTGAGTCCAGGGAGCTCACCTCCTAGTTGTGCAGTGGTAGGAACCTCTGTAAAGGAAGAACCTGAATAACAAAGGTGGAAATGTCTATTTTCTTTCTGAAAATCCTTGAAATCAGTCCTCTCTAGTAGGAGCATCATGAGTCCTGGTAGCCTGACATCAGGATTAAAAAGACAAAAGACAGTAGATTTTCACACCCCACCCCACCCCCCCCCCATTCATTTCAATTCTCCCCCACATTTTGTTTTCTACAAATTGTCCCAGAGCAGACAAGAGCCTTTCCCTGCCCCTTCTACCCAGGCTTGTTTCTGTTGCTCTGGCAGCACCTCCCACAGTTACTCATTTGTTTGTTTGCTTTTCCATTTGCAACTTTTGCCCTCTCCAAAGAGCTGGCTTGCCCAGGGAAATGACAGTAACTTATTTCATTACAAATGCATTTAGAAAGGCATTTCAATTGTTCCTTTTCATTTCGAGCAGCATGTGAATTTGGAACTTGTGTGAAAAACTGAAGGGGAACATTTGGAATAGATTGGCTGAAATAATTCCCCACATTTAACCCAGGCAACTCAGATACATGCGGAAACAGCTTCCCTTGCCTATCTTCCATATACACGACCTGGATTAAAAGCTGCTTTGGGCAAGGGCCAACCCATTGTCTGTGGCCCTAACACAATGTGGCTTGCAAGCTGTGGCAATACTGTAATACCTAGGGACTTGTTTCAGGACACCCCGATTTTGGAAACAAAATACATGTTTCCTGATGACTACTAACATGGAATAGTGTGAATTACAGCTGAAATGGGTACAGGGAGAAGCATCAGGAATCCAAAGTCTTGGGTTCAGTTCTTACTTGTTTTAATTTGGGGGAAGTCTACTGTGGCAAAACGAAGAGGCCTTGAAGTTTGTATGAAGATGCAGCAGCTTACAGAGGGATGAGCAGATCCTGGAAGATCCCTGCTGTACCACCCTCCAGGATGAGGGAAATTTTGGCAACCGTTGAAAAAAATAGAGAAAATGTTAAAAAATACATCACAATATTTAAATAATCAAAAAGCTTTTCCATTCATAACTGTCCCATCTGCTCTCCACCACCAAACTTCTGGGGTATCATTTTTCAGTCAGCACTTGGCACTCAGCACTTGAAGCTGTCTGCTGCTATCTCATTCATACAGCTTTTTCATTGCAGGTCAGTATTATCTGACGAGGTTTAGATGAAATCTTAATACACCGTTCATCTGGAAAACCCCAACTCCAAGCACACTGAAAAACTGCAAATATAAACAATGCAGTTTCCATAGATGTATTAAAATATATCCCAAAGGGATGAGCGGCAGGAAAAAGAGGAATGTGAAGTTATGATCACAGAAGAGAATGCCCTTCTTTTTCAGCTGAGATTTTATGTAAGAGTGAGGAGGAAAGTGGCAAAGAGAAGAAAGGGCTGTCTCCTCATTGCTGGTTCTGCAGCAAAGAAGATTTTCACATTGGCCATGGTAAAATTAGGCAGAGAAATAGCAGATCTGAATATTGTATAGGAAGATGTGAAATGAGAAAGAGTTCAGTGCAGTTCAGGGATGGCAAGGTATAATGAAGGCAAATTGAAATAAGAGCTAAAACTGGAAGAGATGAGCTGAAGGAACCTAATATGAAGACATAAGTTTAATTAATAAAGGCAGGCAGAGCAAGCTGAACAGAGAATACTCATTTAAAATGTCAAAATATATTCTTAATTGTGCCCACTAAGGTAAAAATAAAGGCAAGGTATGTAGACAAAGCATGAAAGTTGAGGGGTGCAAGAGAGTGTTCAAGGATGGGGGTACTGAGAAGACCTGAGACTGCAGAGAAGCTCTTCTGGGAGATGACAGCACTGTCTTTAGTGCTTGTTGCTGCCTTCCAAGTACCCTACATACTGTTCCATTAGCAAAAACGATCGCGTATTACCTCCTAATCTGTTTAAGCTATGTCAGCCAGATTCATTTCACCTGCTGATGAACATGGGTATGAGTTAACCAGGCTGGCTTTACTTGTAGTGCATTAGGGAATGTTTGCTTGGCCTCTTATAATGGCAAAGCTATGGGGAGGGACCAAGGGCAAGCTGCAAAATGGGGTGTAGTTTTCAACTAGTAAATAGCCTAACACAGTGCAGGAAATTTGGTCTAGGAGAACAGATGAACATGTAACACTGGAACCAATCCAGCCATGTGGAAGGATGCAAATTTCTTAAGACTGAATAAGACTGAAGGAAAAAGTTATCATCAGCAGTACACAGCGCAAGAAAAGTCCATGTCTCTACATCTCACTGATATGAGTAAGGAACACTTTTAAAGATAAGATATATGTGCTTGGGAGAAACAGCAGTTACTGGTTGGTTAGTAACTGACAGGAACCATAAGAGAAGAGACTTAACGATTTTACTGTCTCTGGTCCAACAGAAAACTGTAATCTATGCTACTTAAGCTTCATATAGTCAGCATCTGCAAATGCCAAATAATCAGAAACTTTACCAACATAAAAGCAAGCAAAGTTGAAGACCACTGCACATCAGGGATCACTGGAACAATATACAGTGGCTTTCACTTCAGGGTAATAGCTTAATATTTTCCTCCCCATCCTGGCCTACTACTACTAGTAATAATAATGATGAGGGAAATAACAAGGGAAGAGAATATAAAAACCAAATCGGGTAAGGGAAACAAACAGTAAACACAAGCGATGCACAACACAGGTGCTCACCACCCACTGACCGATACCCAGCCCAACCTGAGCAGCAATCTGGCCTTCCATGTGACTCCCCCCAGTTTTTATGCTGGGCATGACGTGCTGTGGTATGGAATACCCCTTTGACTAGTTTGGGTCAGGTGTTCTGTCTCTGCTTCCTCCCAGCTTCCCATGCCCCTCCTCACTGGCAGAGCATAAGAGACTGAGAAGTCCTTGATCAGGGTGAGCAACAACTAAAACATCGGTGTGTTATCAGCACTGTTCTCAGACTAAAGCCAAAACTCAGCACTGCACCAGCTACTAGGAAGAGAACTGAACTCTCCCAGCTGAAACCAGGACACCTGTGTTTCTTTAGGGACTCACATCAAGTGAATTGGTACTGTTAGAAAGCACATCAAAAACTGAGCTCACATACCATTAATTTGCTTCTATTATCCAGAGTGGTTCTGTTCTCCAAGGTGAGTAGATCATGGGAAGTTTGTTTTGCTTCAGCTATTGCTATAACAATTCAAAGAGAGGAAACAAGAATTTTGCTTCTAAAAGTGGATATATTTTAGAAACATTAAAATAACATCTTAAACTGAACCATAGAAATAATTTTGGTAGCCCCTCTGTGGGTAGCCCCTGTAATTATAGCTAAGAATAATCATGAATCACCTTTTTGTTAGAGAGAGGCAGCCCTCTCTGCTTAGTTTAGAGGGACTGCAGCTCTAAATCCTTTGCAATTACTTTTATAACTATCTTCTGTGTTATCATTTAGATTGAGGCTTCTAATATCTGACTCAGTAGGCCTTCTGTTGGTTAGTTCTCCACCATTTATCTCCTTATTTCGGGTGCATGTCATTCACATTTCTGCAAAATTCAGCTGAAACCACTAGTGTCCTGTTCATGATACTCGTACTTTGCACTGCACATATTAAGAAGTAGAATTTGCAATCCAAGCCATTCACAGAATATTCTTATACAGCACATAATTTGCCAACAGCTAAATTAATCTTGCTTCACAATGTGAGGCTGTGTACATGTGGTTTCTGATACAAAAGGCTCCAGTGAAATCAATGTTACAGGCGTCATATTAACTTGGACCCAGCTTTTTCAGGTCCATGAAGCTTAGTCATGTGCCTGCTAATTTAGAACTCAAATGTAAGCAAGAATCTCAGCTCTCCTTTTTAAACAGTGTGAAGTTTCAATCCAATTTACCTTGCATAGATGAAAACATAAATCAGTAGCTGCTTTCCACTGCACATACTAATTTAATGAGCTAGGGATTTGACCACATGTGTATATACACTCTGAAGACCTTTCCCTCTCTACTGCATTAGGTTTGGATGCATGCCAGAGAACTATCCACAGGCTAAAAGGAGGAGGGAAAGGCAGTCTGGCCCGTCAGTTAGCACCAGGTTCTAGAACAAGGGTGTGAGCCACAGGTCAGGGGGCAAGTGCCATCCATACCCTCCAATTGATGATCATTCGAAGAACAGCATGTGCTGCTGCAAGTAGCACCTCAGCCCAGACAGCAGCCCCGAGAGCACAATGTGTGGGATCACCATGGCTCAGCTGGAGAGGGCTTTTCCACCCCTTTCCTCAGTGAGTAGGGAATCCAGTACAACACAGATGATCTGGAAGGAAGCTTCAGGAAGAGCACACTGCTAAAGCTTCCCCAGACCTACATTTTGGGTTGTTGCCTGATGTACTACAAAACAAAGCACATTTGGGGGTTTTGTCAAAGAAACTGTGTAACGACAAATCTGGCAAATGCAAAATGAAGTTGATAATAGGAAGAAGATAAATACTCATGCACAACTATTTATGTTTATGTTGCATGATTTTTGTTGACCTTAGAAGACCGTGACCTGAAATACAAACTCCGAAACAGCAGTGTCTCCTCACCTTCTGTGTCCTCTTTGCCTTGTCTCAAAGACCATTGTCCAGGAGGGGTAAAGCTTTGCACTTATGATTCTCAGACCTCCATGCATCTGAGTCCATTGATAAACAGCTCCTTTTCACTGAACTAGTCTAAACCAATTCTCTTCATACACTTGCGCAGGGAACATCAAATCCCAAGTTGTGTGAAACAGTGAAAACAGACTTCTTGGTGAAGATGTTCTGAGCAGATAATCTCAAAAACCTGACTTCCAATGCCACATGTCTTTGGCTTCTCAGAGGAGGATGAGGTAAAGCTGGGGAAAAGCAGAATAAAGCTAATGAATAGGGGTAAGGTATAGAAAAACAAAATGCTGCTGGAACATTAATTCATCATTTACTACAAAAGCAGAGATTACAATACACATTCACATAGCTACTGGTCACCTCTGATTAGACTCCTCCCTGACTGCTACCAGAAGAATTAAATCTAGGCCAGATTAGGTGCCAAAGGAAAAAAGGACATTGTATTAACCATCTCTGTGACTCTGAACAACAGAATTAGTAACAATCTTTACACTTGAAATTCACTTTCAAAGTTCATTTAGCTTAGTTTATCAGACCCAGCTTGTTAAAAAATAAAAAATCAGAATCACAGGTGATGTGAGAACAAGTTACGCTGAGGAAAGTCAGCACAGCCCCAGCCTGTGGGATGGGAGGGAGGGCCATCTGCCATCAACATCTAGGAAACATACTTTGGGTGGAAAGCTTCCTTGCAGTCTCAGGCTCAGAGTAACTGAGGTTAGCTCTTAAGCTCTTGTTCTCCCCGTAACTCTGGCTCAGAACACCTCAAACCTAGGCCTTGCTGAGGACCCGAGTGTACTCTCCTCTAAAGGCAGGTAGACATTTATGCTGGGGTCTCTTGGTGGAGTCATGCTGAAATCAAAAGACCAGGTCCAAGAATCCCTGCTGTCATGTCCCAGATCATGGTATTACCAATGCTTGTCCAGCAAATACACAGAAGTTTCCTTCCTTGCAGAAACAATTTGATTCTACTTCTTTCTCTCTCTCAACTATATGGGAGTGTCATTTAGTTTTGCATAATTTCATTATGCAAACTCACACTGGACCCAGCAGTACAAGCATCCCCTTCCTTCTGCTGGTGTTTGGCTTCTGATTAGAAATGGTATCAGAAGGTAAACACAATGCACAGGCAAGTTTGCAGTGGAGTAATGAGGCTCTAAAACCATACACCATGCCATGTTGACACCTCAGAAATGTTTTACCAGGTTAAAACTATTTTTGGTAATTACAAAGAAGCTGAAAAGAAAAAGCATCCCCTCGAGCTGACAACATGCATTTTATGCAGAAAGAGACAAGATATGAGACCGTGAAAACTGCACAAACACAAAAAGTTGAGGTGTAACTGAGAGGCAGAAAAATATATTAAAATGATCATTTATTGAGCAACACGGAGAGGATTCTCTCAACAGCAGAAAACAGATTCTTGCAGGTCTCAGAGAAAGCACCACAGACGCCATTCTTGTGACACTATTAGAACTTCCACCTGAAATTGTAAAGCCAATTCTGGATACTGATGTCTGTCTCTTGATATAGCTATTATTGCTTTTGTTTTCTTTATGGATAGAGAAAACATGTTTCTGGAATGAGTAAGGGACTTTCCTAATGTCAAACAGGAAGTGAGGGGCAAAACCAGAAACAGCCTAGCTCCCCCCAGGCTTTTTCTCTATCTATCCTATTAGCAGATTGTAGAGCCAGGAAGAACAATCTCTTCTCTGTGAAGAGGTAGGTTTTGCAAGGAGAATAACGAGTTCCACGTGTCTCCCCAGCTGATATTAGCAATAGTGAAAATCTCATTCTGCAGCAAAACTGCCAATGCAGCACTTGTAAAAAACCTCCAAATTCATGTGCAGATCAGAAATTGCCGATGTGCCTTCAGCAGCTGCGACTACCAAATACTGTCAGGGAGTCATCTGAACGCATCAGATCCGACTTGGAGGTAGGCAGCAAAGCCCAGATGGCTCGGTTGTGCACCAAACTCTCATGCCTCATGTGGGGAGAGGCAATGCAAGGTTGGGACCCCAGAGGTTTGTGAAAGCCCTGGGTTAAGATGGGGCACACCAGTGTGGAGCCCCGCCGGCACTCCCGCAGTGCTGGGAAATGGAGAATCCTGACAGGACCTACACACATGCAAGTGTTTAAATACTCGTTGTTGGGGACTACAGGAAAGCCTACGGTAGACATTTTGCCTTGGGATGTTTTCTCTACTCTATTTCAAAAAAGCAATAAAAATATGTGCTACTCTGAGGGCTATTTCTCTGCTTAACCAGCCCCTTTATTATTATCCAGCTTCTCTCAGAATATACCCTTTCTCCCAACAAGCCTGTACTGCTCCAAAGGGCAAGGCTCAGGTCTCAGGCAGGGGTTGTCGACATGCACATTTTCATTTGCCGGACTTCCTTCCACTACAGGTCACATTCAGATGGATTTGAGGGCATTCATCTGCAGACCTGAACAGAACTGACCCCTTCAACTGTGTCAGGTAATCCTCATGTCCTTATGCACACACCGGCTGCAAGGGGCATGAGCTATGCCATCTCCGTGGTGCTGGAAGCACACGGGGCAATGAGGCTTCCAGGAGTGCTGGTCACCTACATCTCCAGCAGAAACCAGCCGGGCCGGAGATAGCTTAGAAAGCACGGCCTTTTCATTCTCCAGAATTAAGACTTTGATTAGATGCTGGCGCAAGACCAAAACTCCATCTGAAATGCTTTAGACAACCCATCTGCGCTCAGTCTGGGAGCCTGAGGAGCGCATGCTCCCTCCCCAAACCCCTGTGGTCCTTCACGAGTCCCCCCACCTCATGATAAATTTCATAATTATTCAGCCCTTACTACCGACACCAAAATTCATCACTCAAAGCAAGTTAGCTGAGATTCATTAGAATAAGACATCTAGTAGGCACATGTAGTTTATTAGCCTCTTACACCAATAGTTTTAATTAGGTACATATTTCACAGCTCTAGAACTACTCGAGTGAAGGGCTGCTTTTATCTCTTTTATTTACAGTAACAAGCTATCAAACAAATACCACCATAATTAAACTCAGATGAAAAAAAAACAGGAGAAAAAGGAAGATGTTTTAGTTTTTTTTTTAAGGGGTGACCTACTCAAACCTCAGGTTTGGTAAACCTGAGGGATATTATGTAATTAATGAATGAAATACTCTGCATCTGAGCAGGATGGTGGGGCAGGGTGGCACCTGGCAGGCCCTTCCTCCATGTCACCTTCAGGTAGGGGAGGAGAGCTCTCCCTTGGATAGATACTGCCGTGATGAGAAAAGTGATTAAAATCCAGAACATATCTAAATTATTAATGAGGAATTTAAATGATGTTATAAAAGAGGGAAATACAGGCGAAAATGTTACACATTCATGGAATTTTTACTCATGCATAATAATAAGTTGAAAACACTTTAGTTATAATGCTTCCTAAATTAAAGGGCGGGGTGGGGGTAGAGACGCGATGCGTTTCTCGGGCCCTCCCGCGCCGCTCGCCAGTCGGCGATCAAGGGCGCCACCTGCCGGGAGCTGCGGTGCAGTGCGCCTGCTGCCGCCGCCCGGCTCAGGTCATCGGTTGCGGGCCGCGGGGGCCGTGCTCCAGCCTGGGGTCAGCGCGGCTGGCCGTCGCTGGGGGCAGTCCCGCTAAAGGGCGGGCCCCGCGCAGGGCTGTGGTCTGACTCCTGCCGCCCTACGCTGTGATTTGCTTTCCCAGAGTGCAAAGACAGGTTTTTAACTTCGCAGGTGCTGAGAAAGGAAGTAATCAGGTGAGAAGAGCCCCTTTTTGCTCTCCTGCATACACGGAACCCAACACACTCCCCTGCTGCCTTTGCTGATGTGCCCTGCCAGCCCTGGGGTAGGCGTGCTCCTTCCCAAAACCCCATCGAGCTGCCTGCTTGTTATTGTGCATCCTTGTGAGCAACAGCAGCAGTTGGTACCAGAGAAAAGGTTTCCCCGGTCAAAGCAGCAAGCGGCATGTACCTCACATAGCTATATCTTTGCCTAAATCTCTGTGCAGGCTATTCTGTAAAGACTTCCCACGCTGTCTATCCAGACTCCCCGCACAGAAGTGCTGTTCGTGTGACCTACAGAGTCACGGAAGACTTAAGGGCCTCATCTTTACAGCCCTATTTTTTTACAGCCATTTGTATAATCTACCACAAATTCTGGTCATCTGCCATGGCAGGGGAAGAAACTTGCAAGCCCATAAAAGCAGTAGTCACTGGAACACAACCTTAGCCATAAAGTCTCTTGGACCTGCTTGTCCCTCCGTCTGAATTCCTTGGGGACATCTTGTACTTCCAGGTGCCTTTCAGTCCAATAACGCTGCTTTTGGTAACTCTGCAAAGCAGAGAACCAGCAGCTGATTACAGTGGCAGCAAATAAGGTGAGAATAATCCCAGGCCATTCTGGACTGTGAGGTCTATACAAATGCTCAAAGTCCTGCTGAATGCTAACTGGCAGCTAGCACCAATTACCGAGTAATGGGCTCTCCACATGCCCCTTTACTTAATAAGTAGACACAGTCTGCACTCACTTTTGGAGCTCAGTTGTCTCTGGTTGTAACACCAGCTGAATGCTTTGCAGTGGGCTAGCCTCACAGTGACTAAAGCTCAAATCGTTATAGTAAAGTCTCAACCAAAAGAAACTGCCACACTCTTCCCAATTGGAGCAGATGAAATAAAGGCTCTTGGACACAGTTCCTACCTAGGAGCCTGCCAGAGCCTAATAATTGCAACATGCTGTGATTCTAAAACAAATGTGTCATGGAGAGACACCCGGGCTATTTTGGAGGGAGGTAAATTTGCCTGAATGTAGCTCTTCATTAGCACAGTGTTATTTCTTCCACGGCTCCAGCATCTTCTGGTCCCTTTCTCCATGGCACTGCACACAACACATTTGCTATCATGAGGCAAGGATGGCAGCTGTTGTCCCTCTGGACAAAGCAGTGACATTCATATCAGAAACAAAACCCTGCGCTCTCCTCTTTTGCTTCCTATGAAATCTCCAGTGATCATATTCTCATTATTCCTTTGCCTGGACAGCACTGCCTAAAGTTTTCAATGAATTTTGGGCACTATTCCGTCACATTTCTGTCACAGGAGAACTCATTCCCTGTCTTTAGCTAGATGGAGATGCAAACAGGGTTTCAGTGAATGCTCTTGAGCTCCACATTTTCTCCCTAGATCTTCAAAAGAATATGCTGAATGGAAGATAACAGAGAAGATCCCTGTGAAATCATGGTGCAAAAAGAAGTTCCTGCCAAATAATCCGAAAGCATCTGAGATAATTTCCACAAAGAGAGCAGCAGGGATTCCTAAAACACAGTTCCCATCCATCCTTATTAGGAACGTGACACCATTACCTTCACAGCTAACGCTATGAAAGGCTGCTGAAATGTTCAAAGGAACCTTGGTAGGTTTGCTTTTCTCATCGCAAGACAGAAGTTATCACTAAAGGCCTTATGAAAAGTAAGAAACTTTCACAACCTTGAGTCTCTGGAGACAGCAATTACATGCAAGCTGTTGTCCCCAGTTTATATCCTTCAGCTAGTTTACATTCCTGACACTGGGAGGAGGGCATTTGTAGCCAGGTAGTTAGCATCAGATTATTGTTTAATGCAACCAGCTGCATGAGTGCAATGCTGTGACTGAGGCTTCTACATGCACGCAAGTCAGCGAATTCAAAACCACAGTTTCTGCAGCAGCCATGAATTGCACCCCATCTATTATGGACAGTATTATAGACAAGGAGCCATCTCTCTGTGTGCCAGAAGAGAAAGATCAGCTGAAGTATTAGACACCCCCCAAAAGGCACATTAAATTCCAACCTCTTGGGTTTTTTACCATACACTAAACTGATGTGGTCATCTTTACCTAAAATTAGTTTCTTCCTCATTTTAAATCTACATGTGCAGCACAGTGAAGTAATGATGACTGTTCCACACTCCTTCCCCATCACGTATTTTGGTTCTATGCCTTGACCTCCTGTTAAATGTAGTTACCAGGATGGAATTTCCTTTGGTGGTAGTTCTGAAGTACATGTGGGAGGTGAAGAGAACCCACTGACTGCACTAGTTCATTGTGTGAACCAGGCAGTAAATACAGATGTGGAACTCCATATTCATGCCTCAGCATGGGTATCTCTTCAGTGTCGCACCTGCAGGTATTTATACACTCTCACACTGAAATAGATGCAGCCAGTGTGGGTGTGTAGAGCTGCACCTGTGCATGTAATGAGACATTCAAAGAAACACACCAAGTTTTGTTGCAATCCCACTTGACAACATCCTCATACATTCTGTCCTGCATGTTCAGGAGCCTTATCCCTGCTGCTGAATCTTTCTCTGTGCTGGGCTGGAGTGCCCTATGTACCCATCTTCTGCTCTCATCCCAGAAAAAAAACCCTCCTGTCACTTCCTCACTGCTTTCATTATAAATACCAAATCATGTGAACCATCTGCCTGTACAACTTCTGCTGAGCTTAATGTTGCTGGAACTGAAACTGGGCACAGAAGGCAATATGCACACCCTTTGGGCCTGTTTATTTGCCTGCTTCATAGAGATCATATGGGCTTTCCCTACAAGGCAGCTACTGACTGGCAAGTCCTGCTCTGGCACAGAAATATTTTACATCCCGGGATTGGTATTGAAAGGCCTCTTTCAGCCAGTGAAAGGACACAAACCTGAAACCTCATGGTTTATGTACAGTGTACAGCCCAGTACTTGGTATATTAAAACCACTATTACATCAGTTAGAGCACAAGGAGTACAGACATTGTGCTCCCTGTTTTTCAGAGGAAGAAACTGAACACAGGCATCCAATCAAATTGCCCAAGTAAGCATCAAACATTAGGCTAAATTTAAGAGCATCCCTACTTACCTGGGATTTCAAGCTGTGAAGTAATTTAAAGCTCCTTCAGACTGAACAATTGCCTGCCAAGATGTGTAGGCATCTCATCGTGGATAACAACTGGACATTGACTTAGAAACCTTTGGACATTTTGTTGCAGTTCTACTCCACCATAAAGACATAAAGTCTGCGTATCTGTACACATTTAAGGTGACAGGAACAATAAGAAGTATATTACTCTTGCACACTTTACAACCATACTCGGCATTTTCTAATGGGAGCTGTAGAAGCAGAAAGCACTGCCTAGTGTTTCGGTCAATGGATTGTGAGTAGAGAAACAAGTCCCTCTGATTTTTACTCATAACTGGCTAAATCAGTCAATCATTCCATGCCTTAGTTAATGCATCTATATCACAGATATTATAATATCTCAAATTACTTCCTTTCACCAAAAAAGAGGTCCCCTCTTTGCCCACCCACAGATTCTGGTCTCTCTTCCCTTCTGATGGATGCTTTGGCAAAAGAGAGATTTGTTTTATGACATTTACTACATTTGTTGTGCTGACATCACAGAGTCAACAAGAACAAGTATTTATACTTCTATTATGCCTTCATTGAACTGAACAAGGTGTTCAACAGGACATTTTAATTATAATGCCACTTCTAACAGCGTGAGTAAAGGTGTTTAAAAAACACAATCAAGCATGAAATAGAACAGTAAACATGCCATTTCAATTACAGAATTATGTGTAAGCACATCCCTGCACAGCACAACATTTGAAGACTGCAAGAAACACTAAAATCCTATCTGAAGCCCTGGGAGGTTTTGTGCAGAGGGCTGAAGGAGCCAAAATGCTCTCTCCTAACACTCTTTTGTGCACTTACACTGAATTTTCACTCCAGAGAAAATCTCACACAATCCCAAATAGACAATTTTTGTACAGATTTCCATGGAGGAAAAGTAGCCATGCGCTTTTGTTTTGCATTGCAGTGTCATGTCAGACACTTGATCTATTTGGGGAGCTCTTTTTTACTTCCCAGCCCAACGGTGCTGAAATTGAAAAGAAGATGCACTGGCAGATCATTGCATTGTTATCCACCTCCAGCTACCTGTACCAGTGCAAAGTGTTCTCCATCAGGAATGCATCATGTTTATAGATACATGTGACCCACCAGAAACTTCTGGACATCTGTGGCCCCTATGGGCGCAGCAGGATACTGGGCTGCTCTGCAAAATGCTATAAATCTCACAGGGTGCCCGGAGGGAGGATTTCATCCCGCTCTCAACACCACTGCACTGCAAAACACAGAGACACTTATTCAAGGAGCTTCTGAGCAAGTAAGTGATGCCTCAATTTGGCAAAGTCCACCCTCTCTCCAGTGAATCAACACACTCTGCTTAGAATAATACAACAAGGTTGTCACAGAAGCCTGACAGTTAAGCCTGACAGTTGTGACAGGCTGCTGTCACTCAGGGGTTTTTGGCATTGTAAGCAAAAGGGAACATAGGTGTTTCCAATGGTTAGGGCTGGGGACAGGACAGGGAGGCCTGTTCTGTCCATGTGGAGGCGAGAATGCAAGGAAAAGGCAGCTGAGATGGGGAGCTCTGATGGTCAGGGGTGGACTCACCAGCTTTCTGCAGCCAGATGGGAATGTGGACACCGCTAGGTGGGACTTTCCTTTGTCCTTCAGGCAAACTCCTCTCTCCAAAGCAGCAGCACTACACCCACCTGCTTTTCCAGCTCTCTGGAAGCACAGATGAAGCAGACAGTGAGGCCACACTCATTTTGCTGTCCTAAGTAATTGCCTCCTTGGCCAATGTGTAGAACAAGCTTGGATGGGCAAGTGTCAGGAAGACCTGGGCACAGAACCGTCCCACTAAGCAAAGACTGAAACCTTTTCTTTCCTGCATGTGATACCACTGGGCACTGCAGGAGCAGCTGCCAGTATAGTGGCAATATTCACTGGCAATACAGTGAATGCTCTTACCAAAGCATGGCCAAACTACCCCAGCCTGTCCTCTACAGCCCTTAGGGAGACAGTTTCTCCGCACAGCCCCAGTGAGGAGAAAACTGGAACAACTCGCATTTCTGCCATGCAGATTAGACTTGAACCAATGCTGGATGCATTAAGTTCCCAAAGACATCTGGAGATCCTAATGTAAAATCTGGTGCTATCGTGTGATCTGGACTGTTATCTTTTCCCTAAACCATACTGTTGTGTTGAATAGGCCATGCGATTTTCCGCAGTATTGAGTCAGGTTCTAGAAAACCTGACCTGGAAGTTACTCTTATTGTGATTTGAAATTAATAACTTTGAATCTGTAAATGCAGCAGATAATTAGGTGAAATATATAAGAATCAGTATCTAATAATCTGTCACACATACACGTAAAAGCATTTAATTGACAAGAAGTTATATGGGCATCCATAGGTATTTAATAGCACAGCATTAGAAGTTTGAGTGCTATTCTTTGTTTGAAATACACTTTGTTCCTCTCTCTCCAGCCTTTCAGAGCTGAAGGGAGAACTCAGCATATTTTTTCTGTTTCTGGAAGAACCTGTCTTTCTCAAAATGTCAGAGCACCTCGTTAGTGGAAGCCTTAGTTACCTTGCAGATAGCTGGCAGAGGTGTTTTGTTGTGCTTGCTTCCACTTCGTTTTTCCCTGCTATTATGAGTAAGTAGAAGTGAAAGCCTAGTTTTCATTGCCTTTAATGGGAGTAGGATCTGCTTTTCCTTCATAGCTATTTTCCATTCTTCTCCTGGCACTACACAGAAATGCACGGGAGGTGAGACACAGCAGAGAGGTGACTTGGCGGGGAGGATTCCAAAAGCCAACACTAAATGCAGATAACATATTTTTTTTTACTAGTTATGCACATTTACATGCCCTGACAGAAACTTAAGAGAAGCACTATATGGAGAAGTCATTAACTGAGATTTAAATTTGGGAAATACAGGAAATATGTGGAAACCTAAAATTTAAGGCCCACATTTAACATCTCTCTACTTAAAGCAAATCAGGATATGGGGCAAGCTTGTGAAGTTCACTTATACTAGAAGAAATGAACACAAGACCTACCTGATTCATGTACCTTCTCCTTGAATGTACCACTTTTGTTAAAGGAAAGCTGTGCTGCTTTTGCTGTCTTTCAAAACTGTTGGAGACAGTTAAGGTCCTCCCCAGCTTCTGGATAAATCAGGTTCCAACCTCTACAACTGAACAGCTTCACAGGAGGTTTCCATGGGTTTCTCACCACCAATTATAACTTGGAGCAAATTAAAAATTGTGATCATAACTAGTCCTGAATAGTTGAGAGGTAATGATGCATGGGAGGGAAAATATCTAATCAGATGAAGAGATAATGTTCAGGGTCAGTTTTAGAAAGCCGTATGTTATTATCTGTACATTCAACACAGAAGCAAGTATGGAGCTTGGCATTTTAAAGGTCAGATTTTAAACTGAAGCCATTGTTCAAACAACTTCCTTTGCAACAAGAAGCAGAAACAGCCTAAGTGAAGACAACCTTAGTCTGTCATCCAGCTCCCTGTTCGGCTCCTCTGTTCAATTCAGGAGCAGTCTCAGGGCTGGTCTACCTGTGCCTGCCTCCATTAGGTGCTTGTTTCTCTACTCCAGGCACATGCATGCTCAGAGGCTGAAGGCTGTACAGGAGGACTTCCTAACCATAGCTCCTGGGGGTTGCTGAGCCCCAGAGCCTGAGCTGCGGCCTCTGCAGTGAACAGCCAGGACATCATGCTCTGCTTCGGGGCTGGGCACCTGGAGCACCAGCCAAGCTCGCAGATGGAGAGGGAGGGGAGAGCACGGGCACCAGCTCATCAGCAGGTCCAAGGGTTGCACAAGACCTTGCAGGCATGAAGGCAAAGGAGAGTGAAAAGGAGGTAACTGAGAGCTGATACAACTGCTTTGCAGAGTGCAGCCACAACAGGAGTTGTAATCACAGTGAAAACAGTGTCTGTATCTGAAGCACTACTTCTGCTTATTGTGTAAATAAAAGAACTATGACTTCATGTCTCACACTTCAAGAGACATACTCTTAGCCTTGTTTTCTTCCGTATCAGAGCTCTAAGAAATCCACAATGTGTCAGTTTTGGCTTGAGGTTAATCCCTAGGAACAAGTAATGTAACATTTCTATCTATCTTTTCTACTCTTTTGGTGGTTTTAATTATACTAATATGCTATGACAATTTAAACAAGACACATCTCAGCTTCTGGCCTCCTCTGTAATGGTTCAGCTGCTACATGTGCTCCAGCATACTTTGCTCAGACAGGCTGCTGCTGGAGGCAGAGGGGAGGCAGAATAGTACCCTTCTGTCATGAGAGGTTTCATTGCTCTGATCACTGTATGTTTGACAGATTCTTTGTCAATGTCAAGTGTCTTTTGTGGTTAAGCCCAGCAAAGCTAAAACAAAAGGTCTCCTAGATATTAGATGTATAGTGACATTACTGAATTCACTTGGAGGCAGTAATTTTTTGTCAGGCTATGAAAGGAAAAATGGAGCTAATGGAAAAACAAAAGGAAGATGCTGGCATGCCTTTTTAGCTATTTTTGTTTATGTCAGACATAGTGATTGACATCTGGCCCAGAACACCCCTTCAACCATTGAGGCTGGTGTCATGAAACAGAACAAAGAGAAATTGCCAGCCAAGAAAACACCCGTGGCTCAAAAAGTGCTGCTTTTTGTTTATTTTCTTTTAAGTGCTTCATTTTCAGTAATCAGTATCATTACACAAAAGCAGTTCACTCACTTACACTCCCCCCTTACTAATTGGACTTTTGAGTTTCCTTCGTGTCTGCTTTCTTCCTGCCCACTTGAATGGCACCAGAGTGCTGGTTTGGTTGGATGACAGTCTGTCATAACAGTGATGTTTGAGGTTAGTGAAAACTGACGTGAAAAATACAATCCACTGGCCTTTAACTGAAATAGCAGCTCTGGTTTTTGTGGAGTTGGCAGGCAGCGTTTTTAAACCCCTTTCACAGTGAAGGCAGTTACATGTTTTTCTCTGTATCAAGCAGTTCTATCATGAAGTACATTATCTACATCTGTTGTCATATCAGGATATTGCCTTTGAAGAACAGTTTGCTGTTTCTTGTGTGGCCACTTCTATTGTTGAAGTGCCCTAGAAGGGTTTAATGGAATTTCGTGGTCATTCTCCAGGGCCAGGCCAATTACAAAGCCTTAACATTTATTTAAGAGTGACTCTGGGGAAATATCAGTGTCCAGAATAGGTCCTACAGACACACAATACCAAGGAGTCTTTGCCACAAGTGTTCTTCAAGTGCTGTAGAATTTCAGAGACTTGGGGGAAAAAGTATCTATCAGCAGGAGGAAATTATGGCTTAAATTTCTAAATTCACCTTGAAAGTATGATGCTGAACATAACAGTAACAAAGGAAGACTTTTCACAAGGTGCGAGCAAGGCAGTCACTACTCCATCAGCCACTTCCCTCCATTCAGTTGTATGCTGAAATCATATCAGAAAGAACTTTTACCTTACCAAAAAGATCTTACTCACTTAAAAAATGCAAAGACAGTTGGCCCTTGAATGCATCCATCATGTGCTGGAGCTAAACGTGCTTGAACCTTTGTAATAGGGTACCTTTTGGTCTTGAACACTGGGGTATATTCTTCTGCAGGAGCAGCCACTTAACTCCCCTCAGCATTAATGGCAGGTATGCTTACACGTCGAGTGGTGAATTTCTCTCTGTCTCTTTGCACAGTGCTCTAAAAAGAACTTTGAAGAAATTGAGAGAAACAGAGAGAGCAGTATATTAATTTGAAGGAGATGAAAGCAGTACATATCATCCCTAAATTTCATGGAAAATGCACCGTTGGTAACAAAGATGAGTAGAAAATTTCAAAATCATTTTGAGCAGCATTAAAATCAGTCTACCTGATTTTCTGTTTTCTCCTTCTTTTCAAAGCACATACATTAAACTCATTTTATGCTTATAATGTATATAATGATTCTAGACAACATAAGAAGGACACTGGGATTCTTCCTATTTCAACGTATAAAGTGGCAAGCCAATTTATGCAGCTTAAACCATTGCTAAAGAAGATGTATCAAATATTGCCTGTGATCATTACAAATAACAGCCTGAAATGTTCACAAGAAGCTGTTTGCTTATCATATTTTCATTAAAACATCTTTTCACCTGCCTTGCTTTTCCCATGCCTGTAACCTGCATTGTAATCAGTCTTATTAACTGAGAACATAAATATGATTTATTATGGTCTGATAATGGAAGCTGCATGGACCAAGAGAAGGGATGTATTGTCCTTTGATAAAATGGCTCTTTTCTCTCAAATAGAGCTCTATCATGAGAGCATGCAGAATCTAGTGAGTGATTATTTCTTGAGGGTGAATGATGGCAGAACCCTACAGAAAATCTTCTTGTTGGCCATGACAGCATCTGAGTGTCCCCAAATCTCACCGAGTTTGACAACCTGCAGACACTTTTGATGAACTGTATTCTTCTGTCAGAGACAGCCTGTCTGGGAGGAGAAAAGGGAACCTTTATCGTCTGATCTGCTATTATTGTCTTGATCTTTTATAAGCAATCTCTAATGCACATGAATATAATATCCTTTCACACAAGTGCCAAACATAATAGAAATGTAGTTAAAGGACCCTTTTCCCAGTTATGTAAATGTCCTAATACCATAATTAGAAAAGATGGTTTGTGAATGATAGCGGTAAGGAAAGGGTAATCAAAATGTTTTAACATTATCTTTCTGTTTCAAAGACCAAAATCTGTGATAAATAGCATTTATGGCAGATATTGGGAACTGGCTTGTGCTGAAGCTTTTACCTAAAAGAGAATAGTTTTGAGTGTAAAACTGGTGTTATATTTTCATAAAACACATAAGTGGCAGCTGGTCTTAAGCCAGAAATGATTACTGGCAGATAGGACTTAAAGAAAATGAGTATTCCGCTCAAAATCCCTCCACGGCTGTTAGAGAAAGAACAAAGCATTATTATTAAGTAGTGTATTTGGACAAAGGAGTGTTCAAGACCAACTAAAGTTCGCCAACAAATCTCTCTTTTATCTACATCCAGAAGAACAAGCATAACAAAATCTTTTTCAATTAACAGCTGTACGCATTAGCAAAACACCATCTTTCTCAGCCCAAGCAGCCTGGCTTATTTATCACCAAAAATGCAATGTTTGGGGGGGAAGGTTTCCAAGCTGCCCAGTAAAAGCAAGATACTCGCTTTTTCATTAACCTTTTGACATCTGGAGCTGGGATGTCCCAATATTAACTACTAATGGTCTTTTGCATTACCAGTTGGTGTTGAGAGAAGTCCCAATTGTCAGAGTCAAAAGGTTAATCAACAATTTCACACCGGTGATGTGGTCAGAGCTTGCATGTTACTGCCTGAACAGGAGGAAGAAGAAAATAATGTCATTAACAGGAAACTACATCCCAACACTATTAAATCTCTCTTGCATTTCTTTTTTTTTTTTTTTTGTTAGGCAATATTTCATTATATATTTACTAAATCCTCTGACTTTTTAGGGGACTTTTCAAAACTTTGCTGAGAAGTCTAGGCCCAAATATGTGACCAAATTGTTTGCTTTCTTCTACTTTTCTTAAGGAAATAATTAAATACATGGATTTTTACTCACCAACTGTTCAGCCCATGCCAGTGTGTCTTCCATGTCTGTTACCCAGGGAGATTTTAAAATTCCTACCCAACTGGGGCTAATTCAGCCTGACAGTTGTGTCCTGTCTCCTGCAGGTGAGGACACCTGAATGTCCACTCATCAGGGTCAATTTCATAGTGCAGATGCCATATCAGGGATGAAGTACATCCAATAGCCAATACCTGGGTGTAGACTTTTCCCTCCTGCCCTCTTCTGTCTTGATTGTAGGAAAGAAGTCAACAGCAGCATTCCCTTAACAAATATGCGTAGTGATATTTCATATGAAAGTACTCATATGAGCAGCCATGCCAATACCTCAGCTGGCATTGTTTGACCAGAAATAGCCATAACGTACTTTGACTTGTGGCCCAAGAGCTCTCCTAGCCATAGCAAAACCAGATTTATTTTCCAAAAGAAAAGATTAAATAGTTCTGAAAACATTACAGCTTGGCATTGGCTACCAATAGCAGTGTTCCCACAGAATGACTTCTCATTTACCCTGGCAGTATCTGAAATTGTTAATCATTGTTTAGACTTGATCAAAAGCCTTCTGATGTCACCATATGGATCAGGTCAGTTGTTCTATGTTTTTGAGACATTCCATCTTTTTTCTACAGCTAAGACAAATAAGTAGTGAATCTTGCTCAAAATCTCTTGTGTCCTGGATATTTGCTGCACCACATAGTTTCTCTCATCTCTTTCTCCAGTTCCAACAAACTCTAAGGCTAAAATCTTCCCTCTCTTGATTGCTTCAGTTTTAATGGGGACAGGATTTTACCCTGAAATGAAGTATCAATCTTTCCAAGTGCCCTATTACTTAGTCCGCCAATTAGCTGACTATGGAGCCTGAGTGTCCTTGTACATCTTCCCAGTCCCCATACTTGGCTGCATATGTTTATGCAATTAGAAGGGGTGAAAATTTAATAAAATTAGGACAAACCTGAGTGAGCTATAATTCTGTTTAATCTCTCAAACTGGATTGTTGAAAGCTTGCTGAATTCCCCAAATCTCTCTCAGGTGCCAACAAATGAGTCAATATCATACCAAACATCTCACTGCATAGCAGATGTAAATTGTACTTCCAGAATCTCATACACACCCTCAAATAATGAATCTAATGTCTCTACAGTAATGTTGGGGGAAGAATGGGGGGGGGGGAAGGGGAAAGGCAAAAAATGCTGTTTCCTCCAGTTACCAGCATTGTACCTGGTGGCCCAGAGTGTAAAACAGGAGAATACATGGCAGATTTGCACAGGGAAGGACTGGTCACTTTAAAGGCCTGTGCCTTCCTACAGCAGTATTAGAGCAATTCCAAGCCTTCTGCCTCCAGGGGGAGGATCGCTGACTATCACACTGGGCTTTGCTAGATCCCCCTAGCAAGCCCTAACAAACTGAACAAGATGGGAGAATGAAGCTTTCTTTCATCTCAGTGTGATGCCCCTACAGACTTTGAAAAGCCTGGTTTGCACTTTGTTTTGTACTGCAGTGCTAACTGGTGGTTTGCATAGAAATAATCATCAGTCTGGAATAATCCCAGACCACTTCATAGCTGTGTCCTCTCATCACCCACCATTCAAGGAAAGGAAGCAAAGAATGATTTTGGCTGAAATTAGAGGGAAATTTTCTTTGAAAGGGAGAATAGAATTACTTAGAGCACAGCAGAGTAATTAATAACTGTTCTTGGAAGAAAGATCCCAGGATCTTTTATCTCAAGTTGTGAGGGCTTTGGTTTTGTATCTAAGCCAAACTATGTCTTTGTTGCAGAATGGGGCTCTTCAGTATGAGGAGGAAAACTTAAGGGTTGTGGCACTGGGTCGATAGCTCAGATGAAAATGTTATCTGCAGATCAACCAAGTCCTACTTTTTTTTCCCCACCTATGTTCATCTTCCTCTTAGACTTAATCTCCAAGTATGTGCCTTGTTTACTCTGTGAGATCTTACAGAATTTCATCAGGCCAGAAAGGTTTTCTATAATCACACAGCTGAGGTACTGCTCTCACTCATACTCTTCAGGATGCTGAGGTCATAGAAAAGAGCTGGAAGGGATTGTCCAGTACCTGATAGTATTCCCCAGGATTTTGATTATTCTGTCATAGAAATCCTCCAGTGATGGAGACCTTGTCACTGCTTCAGTCAATTATCCCAACAGACAGCGCTGTCCTTTCCTAAGTGGCAAATACAGTCTAATAGTGAGAAAGACTGATTGCTTTCTTAGATATTATATGTTTTGCTCAAACACAACTTAAATGTATTTATGCCTTTCACCTTGTTTCTCCTCCATTAATTTCTGTCTCTGCTACCCCTTGCTCACTGTATTTTTTATTTCATCTTTCTATATGTTGTTTGGCACCCTTGTATTTCTTCTCATTTTTGCATCTTTCCAAACACATGAAAAAGGACTCTCATGTGGCAATGGCCTCACTAGAGATCTCATCTCCTCAGAGGGGAGCCAAAATGCCACATTTTCATTCATTGCATCAAAACCACTTTTCTTAAACAATAAGAAATTGTACAGCCATATTCAAATTCAGATCTAAAGGTGTTGTTCTTGACGTGCAACTGAAAAGCATAGCTAGCTATGGGAAGCACATGATCTGCTCTGAACAGGCACATGCAGGGGCAGGCATTACATAGCCTCTAAAAAGGGAAATCGGAACTCCTGACAGTCATGCTAACAAATGACTGCTTCCTGCTTACTGCTTTGTTTCATGTACAGAATTAGTTACAACACAGGTCTGGACCTACAGGTTCAAGAACACCAGATTAAGTGACTTTGCCTCTAATTTATGCCAGGGAAAGTCCCATCAAAAAGAGTTAAGGTGGAGTATCACCATAAGCAGAGAACTGTGCTACTTTTGTTTCCTCAAGTCAGGCCCCCTGAATTATCTTAATGTGGGTATAATACATAAGTACATAGTGTCCCTGTGGCACTATAGGATGCTTGGCCTAACAGGTATCTGGGGATGCCAAGATAATCTGCAAGATTCAATGCAGCTCAGAGACCAGTGTTTCTTCAAAAACAACTGGTTCAACTTATTATTTCAATTTTTGACATAAAATTACCAAAGCAGCAACTACCTCTGCCATGGCAGGAAGCAGTATAATAAATAAAGGGGAGAACTAAGGAAAGCTTACTCTACATTTAAGAGTAGCAAACAAGTTTGTTTTCCAGCACATCTGTTTCACAGCACATTGTTGCTGCAATATAAATGTTTTCAGCTGCACTGTTTTCCTATCTGCTCTGGCCAGGGTCTCTGCTTGAAAGGGCTGAGAGCAGTGGTCTGAAGCAAGACTATTGTGAGCATCTGATAAAGGACCTGTTTGCGTTAGCACTGAGGATCTGCTGCAATGAGACCTCAGACTGTGCCATTCCATCGAAGGTGTGAACATAAAGTAGGGAAACTAAACTTGGTCTTGGGAGGCAGAGGTTCTTTGTCCCCTGTATGATCTCACACAACATATTTCCTCTCTCCAAGCCTCATTTTTTCCTTGAAATAGGGACTGACAGCTTCCTGTCTTCCCTCTCTGGACTTGTGGCTTTTTTGGCTAGTGGCTGTTCCTGATTATGGGTAGGTCTGATGACTGTAAGCCTGACCTCCAGGAGGCCTCTGGACACTTCTGTATCATATTTGATAATGAAGCCTCCTGTCTTCTCCAATCAAGACAGAAAAAGTAAGTCAGAGCAGAGGAAACTGGCTCAGCACAACATGGCAGCCTCGGTAAAGGAAAGTCAGAGCCATTAGCTATTGACTGTTATAGAAACACTGAAACTGCAGCAGGGATTTCTTTTTTTTTTTCATTGCTATTTAGGGATTTAAATGAGATTTTTAAAAAAGAAAGAAAGAC